TCAGGCTTGTTCGACGAGATATTGAAAAAAGATGGGCACTTTTTTCCCTCTATCGAATGGCATAATCAATTTTTATATGTAACGTTTCGTCTCTCCAGGACCATCATCAACTTCATTTTTTAAATACGACCCTGGAAATTTTATTACATTTTTACCGTACTGTACTGCCTCAGCCCTAACCAGATTCAGGCGTTTTGTCTCGAAGAATTCATCTTCAGTGTATTCGTTCCAAATTTATCTAAATTTTTTATTTAGATTTCTTTGTTTATTGAATTATCGTACACTGTAAGTGTCGTTAGACCCTGTGAAATCCATCTAGTTATTCAAACTATTAGCACCAGATCCCTATAGTGAGAAGCGAATTTGTAACAGCCTGTAGAGAGCTGAAATTGTGATTTTTTTTCAAAAACAACTGATTATCTAGAAAACGGTAAGTTTTAAACACATGTACATTGAATAAACTTTACTTAATATTAACCAAAGAATTCAAAAACGCAATAATATGCAGGGTGTTAAAATAACAAAATTATGTAGCACCCACGCGAAATGGAACACCCTGTAGAGCTAAAAATATTTTCTTTACAAGGCCCACATGATTGCGGACAACATTTATTAAAACCATTTTTTATAAATTTAACAATTACAGAGTTACAGAAGAATCCCTCTTAGGTGGAACACCCTGTATATAGATGAAGTAACTGTTTCAAAACAAACAGGACAAGAGATATCCCTTACCGGCTGATCTAATTCCACTATAAATGTATACAATAAATAAAATGACTTTCGTTAAAGAACAAATTTTAAATTTAATAGGCAGTAAAAATTATTCTAATGCCAAGACAGTAAATGTGACTTTAGTGCCTGGCACCTGTCACTAAAACTACGCCTTTAATGTCGATCGTCGAAAAAATATTTTAAACCAATAAAGACGGTAAATAACTTTCCTGTTGTGGTTCTTTTTTTACCTGTCACCGAGAAAATAATAAAAATCGAACAGACGCAAGCCGTGGAAAAAATACGTACGTCAGCATCCGCAGAAACCATTACTTTATTATTTACACATTATTCTAATTGTATGTGTTTTATTACCTGTTAAAGTAATTACTAGGTGGCTTTTTATGTTCTCTCGCATACAGGGGACGGTCGAATTCGACATGAAATTACACATGTAGAATTTGGAGTACCACAGGGACGTGTACCAGGCCCTATTTACCTTGATCTAGCTGTTAAATCTCTAAATTAGGGAGTCTAATGACTAGGCGCCACCTCTTTTCCACTTTCTATACATAATTAATTTACCTATCACTTCGCTGAGACTTATTAGTTAATGTCAGTAATGAATTCAATTTTGATTAGTTCTGTAACAGCAACATTAACGATTATTATGGATTCGTACGAGTACGGAAGTGTATCTGCGCAGCGGTTATGAAATATTTCTCATTCGATTAGCAGAAGAAAGCGTTAAGGCTTGTTCACACGCGGGGACAGAGCGACGCTACGCTGATTCCACTTGGATTACGTGAAAAAACTTATAATTTGGATTACAATTTCAAAGCAAAACAAACAATTAATAAATCGAAATGTAACTTCTAAGAAACATTGACTTGACAGGTAAACACGTTGTTTAATCATTTTAAATTGCAGAATTACGTTTCAACGAACATATATTTGTTTTCATGGGAAGGATTTCCCGAACAAGCGGTGCTAGAATGTTTTCTCCATGACAAAAAAAAATCCCAAACAAACCTACAAGTCAACAACATATTTACAGATTTTTAAGTGGTCCCAGCTAACACTTGGAAAATTGGAAGCTGTAAACAAGCCGAAATAATATAAATCATACGTAAATAAGGATGGGCATTTGATAAATATTTGTCTATATCTAGTTACCTGTTTTTGACGTAATATAATTGCAATCTAGCTGGCTTTGAAAACGTAAAGCACCGTCTGCACCTTTCACATCCTTTAATGTTATTCAATACGAAATGCGTCTGTTCAGGGATTGTCACGTTCTGATATAACGTCAAATTAACTTTGTACTGGAAACGTTAGAAAGATTTAAAAATTTATGATAAAAACTAATGTTACATACCAGAATAAACTGTGGGAACAAATACTGCAGAGTTCTGAGATAATTCGTAAAAATAACCGCAAACTCTATTTGTTTCTTATCGTTTCACAGAGAAAAAACATTAAATATTAGCCGGTAAAGTCCCTGTAAATAGATATTAGTACATGGAAGCGGAACTGACATTCTACAGGGTCTTTGAAACAAACTGTCACCTAGTACTGAAACCAAATCCGATTACATCGAACTATAAGCGCATTGCTCCATCAGCGTTCGCCTCAAATAAGTTATCCATGAAAGTGGAACACCGTGTATAAAGAGAGTAAGTAAATCTCACTTTCTACAATATCCTTAAAAAAATCTAAACTGTTTAATATAATCGTTGAATAAACAAGTGAAATAATTTTAGTTGTTTTTTTACCACTATTGGGCAAGTTTTTGTTACGGACAGAACTGTATTGGCCTTTCACTAGATGCTAGAAGAAGCAAGCGGGCTTTGCAGGTAATTTCGTCTGTATTCTGTACTTTTCAAGTATCAATTTAGTGAAAGGTGATCAAACAACCTAAGTTAATCGTCATAATTAGTGATTTCTCTTCAAAATACCTCGGATTTTGGTACAATGTCGCCATCATATTTCTTTATCAAGGTCTCTGTGGCAAGTGGTCGAAAGATGTGAGTAGATCTAGCACACAATGGGCAAATTAAATCATGGCCTGCTAAGAAAAGGAAATAAAAAATTTAATAACTTTGATATTATGTCAGACATGTAAAGTCTGATATACATTTTTAAATTTTCAAAAGAAAAAATCATAGTCACTAGTGGATTGTCAGCAACTTAACGACACTTCATGTTGAACAACTCTAAAATGGGGGAGTTTCTATGACACTGCTGTACAAGAATTTTCATGATTGGATTTAACATTTAATCTAAATTAAAATTATAATTAATAATCAACTAAATTCACTTTTAAAATCCTTGATGGTTAAACAAACAAGCGGTCGAGGTTTATGAAAGTGGGGCATCGATGTTTCTATCGTTCTCGTATACTGCTTTGAAAAAATTTTTATGAGAGTAGGACTCCTGTCCTACTCTCATAAAAATTTTTTGTCACAAACTAAAAATCATTGGGGTAATTTGACACCACACTCACAAGTTACGTTAATTTTACACTTTCTTCAGTAATTCATTAAAAATGTTTATTTACAAATAAATGTTCATTTGCCACATCTAAAGCAGTACAACTCACATAATAAAAGTGTATATCCCTAGATCTGGGCGAGGTCCGGAACATTTTCAAAATTGCACAAATATTTAAAAAAATTAAAAAAATATTTACTTGTATCTTGGAATCTATGCATTTTGGAAGAATATTGAAAAGGAAACGAGTTTTAGAATTGAATTTTGCACAATATACTGTCAGTTAAAAAGGGTTCAATTTATTACCGATATTGCAAAATAACAATAATTGATGAGAAAAAGGCAAAATAATCAAGTTTCTTGGATAATTTTTTTTTTAATATTTTAATTGCTCCGAGGGCATTCTAATTTTGGTAAAAGAAACTTTAGAGTATAATAAAACAACACACCAAATTTGAGTAAAAAAAATTTGAAAACAAATTTTCGTATTTTCAAAATGTTGCACAGCCTCAAATAAAGCATCTAGATATATGAAAAATTTTTCACATAGAAAAGACCGCTCAACCTTTCAAATGGCTTTTGAAAAATTGAAATCGGTTGTTTAGGACGGCCACAGTAAATTTTTAAAGTTAACACTCTTTTTTTATTTTTAAACAATTAGATTATATTTTTTATCGATCTGCAATTTAGTTTTTTTCAAAAATTATAATTTTAAAGTACTCGTGAAGACCCTTCTTTTTTTAAAAAAAGTTAAATTCCGTTTATTGGTTCTCGATATATAAGTGGCCTTGTAGTTTTATTACATATTTGATCACAGCCCATGGCATGGCATGACATGACACATTGTATAATATTTTTACCTATTTATATACCTCCAAAGTAACAAGTTACTACGTACCTAAATGATGGGAAAATAGCATTAAGGAAATATTAATACAGTAAATAACACATATTTCCTAAAGTAGAATGTAAAGCTTTGAATCATAATAATTAAAGACAAATAATCTAGTAGATTAAAAATAATTAATTAAACAGTTTTCTTAAAACAGTAGTACTATGAAAAATTTGACACCAGGTTTGTCAATAAAAAATATGTATTATATAATTTCTGTAAAGAACCAAATGGTGAATTATCAAATTGTTTTGATACTCTCAAAAACAGTTATTATATGTATTTAAGATGTTAAAACACTATGCTGCATTACTACGCGACAAATGTATCTAAACATGTGGTCTACTAGACCCAAAGCAGAGTTTTTTACACACACACACAGTAACACAACTACACGTGATTGATCTGACTAGTTGAATCAAAACAGACCAGTGTAAATTCACACCTCTATTTGTATATTTACATCAAATATAGTAAAAGCACATACAAATTTAAGAGTGATACATTTCAAAATCTAACAATACGACGTAAAATATCACAATATATCGTGAAAAGAAAACGTATACTTAAACGCGTATTATGTCCATTCATTTATATTTTTTGGGTATAAAAATCATTGCAAACACGTAAAAAGACCCATAATTTTTATCAATGTAATACAAAATAAACAGACTGTTTTTAGTGACCTGAATATTTTTTTTAAATTAAACATTTTTTACGCATAATTTAAATAAAATCGCGTTTCGGTATTTTCGGTCCTCATCAGTGAAGGCCATACCGTAAAGTAGATCATTTAAATAATTTCACATCGTATGTATGTAACATCAATCGTACTACTCGAGGAAGTACTATCAGTCCCCACTTGGAAGGTACTACGTGTGATAGTACCAATCCGCTTTCGGAACAACACAGTCCTGACTCGGTACCCTCGCGGTGACTACTCTCCTGAAGTCGTCCTGTGCAAGGACGATGGTACTGTTTTTTCGTCGCGTCCCATCTGTTGTCCATGCCACACTAGATAAGCCAGTGAACAGTACCAGGGGTACCGCAGAACAGTTGTGACATTTTTTTCGCAAGCGTACACTGTTTTATTTCGCGTTATATGAACTAAACATTTACGCAAAAAAATATATGAATAAAAACTATTGTCGTTGAGAAGTGGTTTAGGGTTTATTTGACTTTTTTTCGTATTTTAATTGTGATATTTTGAGTGTGGATTTCGTCATATTGTGAACAGTTTTGGATTTTTTTTTCAATGAAGTGTAAGCACTAGAAACAGGTATGAAAAGTTTGTAAAAATTTTGATGTGTTCTTTTGATTTTTCTTCTTTAGTTTATTACATATTTTTTTAAGGAAAAATTTTTTATTTTTTACCATTTTATGGTGCCTTCATATTTTCATCATCAAATATTTCAAATTTAAATACATTTTTCACGATATATCAAAACAGACCATCTCAAGTTATTTTTGGATGTAGGTACAGTACATCCGATTCATATATACAAACTTAAATATTACTCAAAATTACCAGCCCCTGAAGATAGAATGGTCAATTTTGAATAATTAAGAGTTAGGTATTTTTATTTCTTTTTCATTTGTTTAAGGAAATATTTTATTTTAAGATTTTTATAATACGTGCACTGTTTTTGTTTCATTTTCAATTAAATTAACACACTGATTTACATTTTTGTCTTCGAATATTTTCTCGGCATCAAAATATCCGCCAGTAAAGCTTATTTTGGATACCAACTGTTTTTACAAGGTTTTTTCAGAACAACTGATATTTGCATCATTCAAATGCATAATTTTTAATTACAAAAAAGTATATTTAATGTAGTAAGGTCTGTTACCTACTTGATGGTGTACATTTTATGTAGACGAAACAGCAACCAAAGATCAAATTCATTTTAAATTATCTCAGTATATAATTTGTATTTATTGGACATCTGAAGTATGTTGCCCATGATTTTTAAACTATGACAGGTTAGGTTTGTTTTTAGTCCAAATTCATCCTTCTTTTTAATTTGAAAAATAAAGTGTCTGTTCAACTTTTCTACATTTTGAGATAAATATGATAAGCTACAGATTTTTAGAAAGAGTAGCATTTTTAAAAATAGTCATGGCCAACTACGGCTCCCCCTTAAAAAAAAATATGACTGATATTTACCGTCAATTATTATGAAATCAAATGTAGGCCATTGGATTGTACGCAAAAAATCGATATGGTAAAGTAACAACATTTCAGAAAAAAGTCAAATTTTTTACTTCAAAAATTAAAAAAAAATTTCTCTCGCAAAATGGATAATTTTTACGAAAACTACAACTTTCTATATTTATTAATAACCCAGATATCTATACCATCGAAATGGGATACAATATTTACCATGATTTAACTTTTTATTCGCTTAATAAATAAAAACAACAATTCTACCGGGACATAGTGGGCGATTACAGAAACAATCAAACATTATCATTATTAAAAAAAAGACTACCTATGTAATAGTAATTCATAATCTGCACGCTATTCATATTCAAAATCATAGATAATTTTTTGATGAAGGGGCAGTTTTACTAAAAATAATAAAGTTAGTAATACAATCAGAGAGCTTGTTTGTCTTTCGTGGGCGGCGATATTTCTTCATAGTGCTCTCCTCGAATTCGAATATACAAATATTTTGGTTCATAAAAATCTTTAACGAAAAAAAATTAAGAAAATAAATTAAATAAAAAATAAAAGTATAAAATATGAACTAAATGAAAATAATACTTACAAAAATAAATACTTTATACAATTTCTTTTCATAGTAAAATTTCTTAACTGGGTTTTTAAGAAAAAAATGGTTTGAATTTATTTGAGTTAGCTTTAAAATAAAGCTATTTGTTGTTGTTTTGGCGTTTGGAAAATATTAAACACAGTCAATTTAGGTAAACATGCGCTGTAAAAACGTAAACAATGTTGACGAAATTTGATGAAACTAAATAAAAAAAACTAATGAGACACCACTGCATAACGGAAATAAAAAATTAATGACATAAATTATGCACGTAATTGCTAGCTTGTCTACTAAGCCACTCAGAAAATATCAAAACAGCATATAGAACAGAAACAGGTTGGCAAGGGAATCCCAAGGAGCAGGTTATTCAACTAGACGAGGAATATTTTTGCTACTGTGACACGTCTATATTTTAATTTTGAACATATAATTTTCCCTAAATACAGTTGCATCAAAATATTTTTAAACTTTTGTTAACAAAACGTCTTGTATAAAAACGCCTAGCAATAAAATTTAATGAATTTCCTAGGCGTCCCTAAAAAAGTTTTCTACTAAAAGTAAAAAATTATAATAATTTGTATATAATGTGTAGAAAATTTCTATTATCTGTTCATTTGGCCAGCAACATATTTTAATTATTTGTGTTCTCAAACAATTTTATTATATTGATTGAAATGCCATGTTGTAACAATATTAGTAAACAAAATATCCCTCTTATTTTTCCCGTTAGCAATTGTAATATGAATGATTAATAGAAGGTGCCTATAATAAATTAAAATTACCTGAATCGCACCAAATTCCGCATTGCTGCACTGCACTGCTAGGCCATTTGTTGACAACTAAATTTATGGCAAGGTCGCCCAGAGCGGCTGTTTGTGCCGCGTTTGCCCGCGCGCTCATTCTTCAACTGGGCGATCAGACCTGCGTATGGGTATGGCTAAATATATATGGGAACAAGTTTTTCAAATACTGCAATGCCAAGTTGCTGCGTCAGCGACCGAACCTGGTACATACTGCCAACCTTTTGATTCTTCAGTTGAGATCGGAAAGACTATAAAAAAGTACCATATAGGTCTCCTAAAATTCTACATCTGAATCCTACAAGAGAGCAAAAAGTGGACATTATATTTTATCAAATAATTTATATTTTTTAAAAAACATACATTGGTATTATTAGCTCTAATATGTTACATTTTACTGTATTTCATAAATGTTTGCAAGCCGAACTTAGACAAACACTGTTGGTACTGTCAACTAAAATTCCCTAAATCTTGGCGACGCCAGTGTTGATTCGTTTACAATGAACAATGACAAACCGTTACGTCTGCACTCGAGATAATGCGATCGCTGATTGATTAAATAACATTTTGTGAAAAATTACTCGAATCATCAACTGGTGAAAGAGAATGTGTTTTATTAAAAAAATTGTTCTAAGAAATCTTATCAATGGAGTCAAATATTTTAGTTGTCAAATATTTCATATTCGATATGTTAACAAATTATGTGATTAATCCGCAGTTTTTAATAAATATTTAATATTTGAATTAATTAGACAAATTATTTACGAATTATAACGAAACTGAAACATTTTTTTCTCCTAAATTTTATAGTTAGCTCTTGAACTTGAACCGTTGCAAATTAGAACTCATGGTTAAGTGTATTTTTTTCATCCAAAGATTACTCAAGTTCCTCTTCTTTAATATACACTGTGTCTCTGAACGGGAAACCTATCGTACTCTTGTAAACTTTTTTATTGTTGAATTTTCGAGAAAAATTTATTCTTGATAAAATGTTTTGCTTTGCTTGTGAAGCCGTGGTAATGAAATATGTAATAAAACATAAAGGGCGTCCAAAAAATTTCAAAATGTGAAATTTTCACTAAGTAAAGTGCCTTTCATTTTTGTTTTCGTTAAAAACTGTATTTGACAAAATTTTTCGAGAACTCAAGATATGCTTAAAAACTCGAAAATTTTCAGAGTTACTTCTGCGGAAAAAAGTATCTCATGCTGAAGTAATGGCAGTAAAATTATATTATATTAATTTTAAAATAAAAGTTTTTTACAATTTCTGTCTGCTTTAAGTAAAATAGTCAAAAATCGCGTCTTGTTATTTGCAAAATGTGATTATTCTCCTTTTTTGACTAAAACGCGTATTTAAGTATTTCTTGAGTTCTCGAACAACTTCGTTAAATACAGTTTTTAACGAAAACAAAAATTACAGGCATTTTGCTTAGGGAAAATTTCACATTTTGAAATTTTTTGGACGCCCTGTATGTTTTATTACACATTTGATTACTGCCCATGGCTTCCCAAGATAATCAAAATTTTTTATTAAGAATAACTTTTTTTCGAACAATCAACAATAAAAAAGTTTACGAGAGTGCGATATCCGGGGACACACTGTAGCTACTAAAATGCAATTTTTTTTTCGTAATATCAGTCTCACTTAACCGCTGTAAATAAAGATTTAAAACAAATTACAGACAAGCTGTTCCCTTTCTGAACACTGACCCATATTGCTGAGGTGAAATGTTAAGGAAATATCTCATTCCGGCGTTACATAACTCGAAAAAATCGAATGCCTCGCACTGCGCCGACAGAACGGTGTTCGATGAAGAAATTGCCTGGCCATACCTAAGTTTATTTACTGTTAAGAGCAGTCGCGGTTTTCTGTTCTTGAGGTGAAAGTATTAGATAATTCGGTCGCCGTTTATTAGATAATACTCGATAATTGCTTGTTAAGGTCTACATAGTTACGTGTGTTGTTTATTTTCGATCGAAGAGAGCCAAAAAATGACCGATTAGTCGAAGTAAACTAGGTTTTTTAGGAGAAATAATTTATAGAGTTTTAAAAATTTGGGTGCAAACTCCTTACGTGCATGCAAATACAGATCAACAGAGTTCCCACTTATACGGAGGGTGCTGCATCCCCTTTTGCTTCAGAAAGCACCCTTTAATGTGACCTCGTGCCGGTTTTTTTAATTTTTCTCAAAAACTGCTGCTCTGACGAGGAAAATTAATAGGACCTAAAATATTCGGCTTAAAATTCTACATCATTTATGTCCTATAAACTTTTTTCTATCGTTAACTATACTCTCACAAATATGGTTTGAAAAATTCGGATATGTTGCTGAAGTTTGGCAAAAACGAGTAAAGTGACAAATATCTTGAAATACATTGGCCATAGAAAATTGTTGCATGCAAAGCAGATTTTACTACACAAACTTGACTATAAGTACAAAAATATATGACTACATAAAACAGAAAATATTATTATTACTAGGTACTAAGTCTTTTATATTCAAGCCCGTTTCCACACCATCGCTGAGGTAGAGCTCCCGGCGCGATTTTTTCTCCCCTGGAGACCTAATCCACTAAAAACTAACTGCTGTTTAATCATTAATTGAATTATCTTCAGTTAATTCTTTCTCTACCACTGAATTAAGACATCATTGACCATGACAATTGGAGTACATTGTTGAACACTTCAATCCAACCTTAGCACA